CAGAGAATTATTTTAAATATTTAACTGGTTTGACTTTTTCCTGCTTTTGCTCCACTTTATAATGGAATGTAAATTTAAAATTTTATTTTCCTTTTTTTTTTTTTAATTCTCCTCTGCATTCTGTAACTTTTTAGAATTTCTGCAAATCTGGTAAATTCCCAGTTTGTTTGATTTTCTTTGTTACTGTCAAATGATTCCAAAGTGGAGGAAATGCTGTGGAAGAGACTGAAAGAAAAAGAGGTGGGGGGAAAAGAATGAGAAACCTGCAAGTGAAGAAATGAGCTCAGAAATCACTCAAGGCTAAGTAGAAATAAAATTTGAACATTTTCCAAACTAGCAAAATATATTTTTTGGAAAAAAATTGTTGCCAGACATGTGGAAAAATGAGGAAAAAATTCTTTTTCCTGTAACATGTATCTTCCACTGAGTGGACGCAGGTTTGGAGCAGGGAACGTGCAGGAGGATGCTGAGGCCACACGTGGGCTCATCACAGGGACTGCAGGCTGGGGAGCAAATCTAAAAAGCTCCAAATTGGCTCCAGACTTCCTGATGCTCTTGGGAGAGAGCCTGAAATGTTCAAATTCCTGAAAATCCTTGTATTGACCAAACCATGGAGATGAGTGTCAGATCATGGAATGTGGCGAAGCGATCAGAGCCTTGTTAAAGGCAAATCCAGTTACAGAAGCTGTGCAATTCCACAGGCCAGACTCAGTGGGAGATTTCCACAGGAGAATCCTCTGGGACATGAGCAAAGGAGGTTTTGTTCATTTAATTTTCAATACCTGGACCAACAAATCCTCACCTCGCCCACAGACGCAACACCGAGTCCATGGGGCATTAAATCATTTACAGGGATGTGGATTTATGGTGTTGAGTTCCAGAATCACATCCTGCAATTCCCCCTGGGTTCACCCACCCTGGCCATCATCACCAGCTTTTACAGAGACAGGAGCTGAGTGTCCCCTGCCACCTCAAATGACACCATCGATGTCACGATGTCATAGATGTCACGATGTCACCGATGTCACGATGTCACCGAGGGGATGGCACAAACGGGCTCTGCCTCACCTGCTGTCCCCAGCCTTGTCCCCAGCTCTTGGCTCTCACCAGGCACTCTCATCCTTCCTTCAGCCTCCTGTGATGGGAACAATATGGAAGGCAGAGCTCTGGAGCTGGAGCCACCCCGGCTGCTGTGCCAGAAAATCCTTCCCCAAAATAGGGAGCTCAGGCACACTTCTCCTGACTTCAATTAAAAGTTGGAGGAAAATGAAAGGGAAATTCAGCTGGCAACTTCCTCCAGCCACCCTCCTAAAAGGAGAAACACAGAGATCATCAATGCASTGGAGGATGAGAGCAGGGGGCTTCTCAAGCAAATGTATAAATAGCTTTTATTGGTTTTCAAACAACATGTATCGAAACACTCTGGATTTAAACATCCAAAGCGTTTTGGATTTAAATATCCACCTGGAGCATGTTGGTAGCCCTGCCCATGTCCCTGCCCATGGCAGRGGTGGCACTGGGTGAGCTTTGAGCCCTCCAACCCACACCAGGCTGCGATTCCTGAAGGGAACATGGTCCTCACAGCTGCTCCCAGGCCCAGTTACACCACGAGTAACAACAGCAGCTCCTGCAGCTCAGAGGAACGTGAAGGACAAGGCAATTCCATGGTAAGWGCTTGTAAGATAAAGATGAAAATGAGTGATATTTAGCCAGGCAAATGATAGCYAATCATTGACTGCTTTAACAAATGGAACTACCTCAGCTAATTCTTTGTTGCTCTCAAGAAAATCATTGTCTTTCAAATATTCTATTTTGTTCTATTATTCCCTGATAAGTTCCTGTGCTCCTTCTTGTGCGGACTTTGCAAACAGTTCTTTCTGATCCTACCTGGGCCGTGCTGGTCAGTTTTTTTTGCCCAGACAGGCAGAGATGGGATGGGATGGGATGGGATGGGATGGATGGGATGGGATGGGATGGGATGGGATGGGATGGGATGTTGGGGTCACACCCTCAGCGTCAGGGACAAACCAGAGCCTTCACCCACGAACCTCCTGCTTGAATTGTTCTTCCCTCCCCAGTGCTGAGCTGCCTGTGCTTGAAAACAAAAATTAACCTTTTTTTTGCCATTTTTGCTGTGCTGCTGAGCCCCTGGTGGGCCACATTTTCCAGACCCAGCAGGATTTCCAAAGCCACACTGGCCGGGTGTGCGCCCCAAGCCCCCCACACTCCCGGAGCCTCCACCGGACGGGATTTCCTCGAAATACAAACACGAACCATGGGCTGTGCACCAGCACTGCCTCCCCAGGGTGTGTTTGTGAGAGCTGAGCCCGGCTCTGGGAMGCTTTCCAAGGAAATGTTACCCTGCAATTCCCCCCTCCTCCCCGAACAGAGYGTTCCCCAGCGCGCTGGACAGGGATGGAGCGGAGCAGCCGAGGGATCGCGGCATGGGGACAGATGGAATAAATGCACGTTCTTTCTGCAGCTATTCCAGCTCCCAGCTCAGCCACCCACGGGACCAACCTTGCCTGCTTCTTGTTGACAAGTGCTCTAATTCATCCCGATGCCGATGACTAATATTCCTCGGGTAAAATCCTTCACCTCGCCGAGGTCAAACGCACAATTCCCATTAACTCTAATAGGGCCAAGGCTTTTTTTGGGTCCCTGCGTGTCCTGGTGGGACCTTCAGAGCTCCCTGCCCTCCCTGGGCTTGGCCAGCTGCAGAACACAACCCCTTCCCTCCCCATGACACTCTGCAGCACCTGCTTGGCAGCCAGCAGTATTTTGGTGAGAAAAGCTGCTTCCCGAACTTTCAGCAGCATCAGGAACCGGCAGTGCCTCCAGCAGCCTGCACCGAGGCCATCCCATGGGACTGGGGGATGTGACCACCCCATAACATCAGGAACCAGCAGTGCCTCCAGCAGCCTGCACCGAGGCCATCCCGTGGGACTGGGGGATGTGACCACCCTGTAACATCACCTCTGCTGTTTGGGGGCAGCGACAGAATTCCTGTGGCTTTTCGTGCTCCAGTGGCAGGAGGAAACAAGAAATGGGGTTTGAAAGGGTTTTTTTTCCATAGAAACAGGAGAGATGCCTGCAGCAGTTAGGAAGGGTTTGTGCTGCACCTGTGAAGGAGCGGGACGTTGATGAATTARATGTCAAATCACAGCTCCATTGAGTTGGCTCAGTTATTCCATAAATCTCCCCGTTGTCTAATTAGGCAAAGAAAGAACCAACCTCAGACTGGATTCATTTGACTGAAATGAATCACTGAAATGACCTGGAGCTCTCCGAACAGTTTGTGATGGGGTTGGGTTTGCCAGGACGTGGATGTCCCTGGCTGGCCCCACCTGGGACCCCAACCCAGGACCCCAACCCAGGACCCCCACCCAGGACCCCCATCCAGAACCCCAACCCAGGATCCCAACCCAGAACCCCAACCCAGGATCCCAACCCAGGACCCCCACCCAGGATCCCAACCCAGAACCCCCACCCAGGACCCCCATCCAGAACCCCAACCCAGGATCCCCACCCAGGATCCCAACCCAGAACCCCAACCCAGGATCCCCACCCAGGATCCCAACCCAGAACCCCAACCCAGGACCCCACCCCGGACCCCCCGTGCCCCCGCCCAGGGTCTCTGTCCCACCCCAGTGATCCCAGTCCCAGCCCCTCCAGGAGATCCCCCTGGCCCCAGGGAGCCCTGGCAGCTCTCACACGGTGCCAGGACATCAAAAGATTTTGATTTATTTGCTTCTACCACAATGGACATTGTAGTATAAATGTTCTGTCCATCTCCTGGGGATGTCAGCTCCCCATTCCTGAAGTGTCCAAGGCCAGGCTGGGTGGGGCTTGGAGAAACCTGAGCTAGTRGAAGRTGGCCCTGCCCAGGGAACAGATGGGCTTTGGGTCCCTCCCAACCCAAACCCTTTTATCATTCTATGATAATCCTGTGTTTGACTAACTGCACCGTTTAGGACACACCGAAATCAGCTGTTTTTTTTAGGACAAAGTAAATCCACATTTCCACAATAGCTATTGTTTGTGGCTGTTGTTCAAGAGCCAAGCTTTGCCTCCTGACCTCTGCCCCTGCCCTTCCCTTCAGGCTCCTCCTCAGCAGGAAAATCAACACGGACATGTGGTGGCTGTGTGTCTGAGAGGGGATGGATGGGGACTCTGGATCYGAGGGCTCCTTCCCAGCCAGCCCAGGCTTTTGTGGCAGTGTCAGAGCAGGTGGCTCGCTGGGGTTGGTGGCACCGCAGCCACTCCCGGGCACTGCTCAGCCACTGCCTTGGATGTGGTTTCACCACCCAGGGAGTGGGTAAAGGTCACTGAAAATCCCACAGAAGGAACACCAAAGCCTCCAGGTCAGGAGCAACAAACCCTGCTTTCCACTGGCAGCTCCTGCTGGAAAAGMTGTGTCTGTAAGAGGGTCCTTTGTTTGTAGGGATTTTCCATAAAGGATAACTTTGCGTTACCCCATAACGCTCCTGACAAAGGCTCAGGCCCTGCCTTTGGTGGAGAGAGGCTTTCTSTGAGGGTAAACAACAGGAGAAGGCCACGTGTCACGGAGCAGATCTGAAACCAGAGGGCTCWGCCTGGTGTGCTCTGGGGCCTCCAGCCCAAGGGAAAACATTGGTGGCCAGGGGTGTTGTTTTTGCTTTGAAGGAGCGAGTGTGAGGATCCTTTGCTCCAGTGCAGGTGGTGCTCAGGCAGAGCAGAGCCTGTTTGTCCAGCTGTCCATGGCTGTGCCTCAGCACACAGAATCACAGCCCTGCAATGGGCTGSCTCACAGGGACCTCAAAGGCCACCTCATCCCAAAGAGCAAAGAGCTCTAGGGACAGGCTTGTTCTGCTCCAGTCAGCCGAGGAAAGGGGCAATAATTTGGGGGAGCCCAGCCTGTGCAATACATCAGTCTGAAATCCTAAATTGGTTATTTTGGTGTGGTGTGGGCATGGGAGAGACAGAACTGCTCAAGGCATGGCTGAGACTTTCAGCTGCCTGAGTCATTCCACTTTTCTATTAAGCTCCAGTGCAGTGAAAATGATAATTATAGGTAATTGTAACTTTTCTCTTGATAATTGTGTCTGAAAAAGGGCTTAAAGGGATCAACCAAATTATGCTGATCCCTTCTGGAGCTCCACTGTGCCACCAGAGCAGACACCCAGCATGGCTGGAGCGTAGAATCACCAAGCGCTTGGTTCTGCTGCACAGCAGGGTCAGAATATTCCTTCCAACCCTCCTGGCAACACCTCCAGGCACTAAAGGGCCTCAAAATCAGAATTAACACACTTGGAACCTGCCATCATCCTTGAGTAGCACAGTCCAAATTGCACAGTCCAAATTGCACAGTCCAAATTGCACAGTCCACTTCCAAGGGCAGGAGAAATGTGGAATTTCCCTTTTAAAGTTCCCTGAGCTTCCCATCCTCTTCCTGGAGGGGCTGAGCCCCTCTGCTGCCCTTCCCTGCTCGGGGAGGATCAGAACTGCGGGATCCACTCCCTCCTTCTGTATAACCTGTCAAAGCTGCTGGAGACAGGCACGACACCGTGGGTGCTATTTTGATTTTTTTTCCAGTTTAATTCACCTCAAAATTGAGTTTTASCTGAGGTCACACACAAATGCTGTGAAGTTTTGGGTTGTTTTGCAGTRAAGTGCTGCCTCCTGCTGGGTAAAGGCCCTGTAAAAGAGACAGCTCAGTAATTTATTAGAGTTTCTTTCACCTGAACTTTGCAAAAGCCTTTGCAGAGATTGCTGAACATTATTATTGCATATACTTGCCAAAACTCATGTTTTAATAGTTCAGGGAAATACTAGAAAATTATATTGCCAGTCTTTCCAGAAACTAGAGAAAGCTTAAAGCATTTTGAAGCATCTTCTAGTTCAGACTGATCTGTTCCCAAAATAACTGACAGAATTGCTCAATAGTGTTGACAGAAGGAAATTTTTATTAAAGAAAAGCCTTACTCTAATATAGGACACTGTACTCTGTGGGGGAGCTTTGCTCATAAAGGTAGAAATACCTATTTCTGTCAATCCTTACCAAAATGTCTTCCCATATCCCTATAAAAGACCTATTAAYATGATTTTTGAAATTAATTTTATTCCCTTGTGYAATTCCCTTAACTAACAGGAACTGAAAACATTCAGAGATATGGATATCCCAGGCTGAATTTAAACACCAGCACACCCTGGCAATGTTCACCTTGTGTAAGTTAAATACCAGTTCTCTCTTGGTGCTCTGGGGATGGGGAGCTTATTGATGACACCTAGAACTAATTACTAAAAAAACCAAATCCTTCTGTTACAAGTGGCTTCTGGGCTGTCAGTGGCAGTGTCTGCTGTGTTCAGTATTGCTGTTGTTATATCAGAAAGGAAAATCTGGCCCACTTATTCTCACTTTGACTTCCCTCCCTTTCTGCTGGGAAGGTTCTCGGTGTCCATGTCCCTTTTGCCTGTCCTGAGGCTGATGGGGTGATACAAAAATAACCCTCCTGAGGCTTTTCTGCAAAGTCCCAAYAACCCACTAGATGGCAAACAACCCCTTGAAAAAGCCCACAAATACAG